AAATTCACATCTGAGTCAACGTATCATCAACCGCATATCAACTTCAAAACTCAACATCATTTATTCAACATTAAGAGACGACCAGCGATATAATTAGCGCCCTGAACTTAGTAAGGGCTCAAGAGCTAATTCCAAAACTACGTAGCAGCACACCACAACAGTATACCTTCAAGAACTTCAGAACATTGCTCCAGCTTCATTCTTCAATTACACAACTTCATTCTTCCAACTACTCAACTTCAAGAAACTCATCAAACTTCAGCAATCTTCCATATTTACCAGCAATTACCAGACTTCAATACATCCATCTAATTTCATCAACCTTCAGTATTTCAACAACATTCCCAAATTCATCATCATCAATCATATATCCAACTTCATCAGCCAACAGATCTTTCTCAACCCAACTTAATTAAATCTATCACTGATATACGCCCGCCCACATTTTTTAGAGCAGGTTTAGATTAAGCAATCCCACCAAACATAGTTATAAGAAAAATTTTCAAAACCAAAGTTACCATTAGTTTAGAAAAAAAAAAATAGTTAATAGTTTATAAGCAAAACCGACACACATTATAACCTCAAATGAGCCAAACCAAAACCAAAAGGAGTGCAGAAAACTGTTGGAACATTTCCACATCGACATCGATGTCACAATGACACAATCTCACGGCGAGCACAATAAATAAATAAAAAAAATAAAAAAAACTCCCCTCATCTTTCCCAAACCCCAAAATCACCCCAAAACAAGAAAAGAAAAAAAAACAACCCCACCGGGGGGAGGATGTAGCGGGTCGCTACAATAGCGCAAGTCACGTGACAACGATGCGCGCGCAGTCGGCCCGGGAAGGCACGCGCAACGAGCCAGGGTAGTAGTGTAGTGTCGACCGCCTGGAGCTGTACATCTAGTCTGGATAAGTACCTAAGTTAGAATATGTCTAGATAGCTTCGTAGGGGTTGTGGAAGGGTGTAGGCTAGGGTAGGTAGTAATTAAATTATGTAATTTATTGGGTTCTAGAATGGTCGTGGTCTGGAAATTAATATCACAAATTAGAATTCACATTTGCTAAATCTAGTTACCTTTTTCACGAATTAGAATAAGTCCGTATATATATATTTCTCTGTTCACTATATTATAATTAGATACATTAAGAACATAAAAGCTGGCTGTGATAGGCAGTTAAGGTAATATTGTGCACTTTGACGAGTTAGATTAATTCTTGCAATAGAGTTGGGTTACGACAGGAAATGTGCGTGATTTGGCAGTGGTTAGAGGGAGATATATAGGGCCCAGGTATCTTCATTTACACTCATACTACTCCACATCATCACAGTTGTGAATTTATTTAGCCCACGTAGCATAGCCAATTTTGGCCGATACTTTTGTGCTAATCTTAGCAACCAGTTATTGTAAGTTGTATATATTTTATTTATTGAACCTTCATTTATTGTTGTGGGGTGTATAGTATAATTTTAGTTTTTTTTTTTTATTTTGGTGTTGATTTGATAATTTAGTACTTGCTTTATTACTCTTTTAAATAGCTTGTTGGTAATTAGGCATTTTATTTAACTGTTATAACTGGTGATAAGGGTTTAAGTGTGATAACACCTATACATAGACGTGGGCGAATTTAATTTTTTTAAATTTAATAATTTTTTATTTTATTTTTGACTTTATCTGATTAGGCCCGTGTTACGGTCATGCCGAATACCACTGAAGTTGAGTCGTCGGTTGCTCAAACCGTTACCACAGTACCGGTGGTAGTGACGACTTGCGCTGGGACCTTTACGGTGACTACCAGTAGCACTGCGAACCCTCTCAATGTCACGCGGGATGTAATACCCCCTGCGACTCTAGGGGCGATCCCAGGGACAAACCCGACAATTTTGGGTGAAGGCTTGAGGTCTCCGTTCGATGATCCTCGCGTGGGGTGGATCCACGAATTGCGTAAAGAGGACCTCACACGTGAGATGGAGAGGTTTGGACTAGACACTCGAGGGAAGGTGGAAGATCTGAGGAGAAGGTTTTGCCAGTTCTGGAAGGACCCTAAGAGTCAGTGGCCTTTCTTGTCTCAGGCTGGTGTGATTAACCAAGCCCAACAGCCTACATGGGTGACGGCTACGGGCCATGAACCTGGTTACATGCCTGAGAGTGCTTCTGGGGGTGATCAACATCCTCATCCCTTCCCAGGCGAGAATGTGGGGTCGAACGCCAAACATGTTGTTGCGGATAGTGTTTGTGAAATGTTGGGGCTTCCGCCTGACACTGACGTGGACACAGTTAGGCAGACCTTGGCCGTGGTGTTGAGAACCGCGTCAGAACCAAAGACGTCAAGCATAGACGGTTTACGTAAGGAGACTGGCCCATTTAATTTGACCGGTAGCCTTGTCACCTTTAGTGACGGATTCCAGCGGCCTATAACGACCGAAATTCAGCCTGAACCCGTATCCTCTGCAACCGGGGTGTCTTCGGCTAGAGTAGGTCTTCAACCCTGTCTTGGGGGCGTGGCTCAGCCCTCGTGGGGTGACTCAATTTTGAGAACCCGGTCAGATGCTCGTCCTTACCTACAGCCGGGCAACTATACGCCGTATACAGATGGGCTACCTAGGCCGGTGGGAGAAAACAACTTCCGTGATAGACCGAGTACTGCGCCTTGGTTTTCTGGACAGCCAAGTGATGATACGGTTAGGCGAAATAGAGAGTTCTACCTTTTATCAACCGATGCTTGACAAGCGTAGTCGCGAGTTTACTTCGATTTGGGATTCTGTGCGGAAGTGGAATTGCGATTCGATGGGAGAAGAGATCCCGTCTCGTTTGTTGAGTGGCTCGGTGAACTGATAGAAACCTACTCCTTGAGCAATGATGAGGTGTTAAGAGCAATGCCAGAGCTGCTTCAAGGGGAAGCTCTGTTATGGTATCGGAACCAGAGGAGTTTTTGGGTTGGTTTCGCTGATTTTCTGGCTGATTTTGAAACCCAGTTTTATCCTCCCGGATACCGACGCTACCTTGACGAGGAAATTCGCAAGCGTACACAGGGTGATAACGAGTCATTCCGCTGTTATCTCACTGCGATATCAACCCTGATTCGGCGCAGTGGTGAATTCTCTGCTCAGCAGAAGTTAAACCTGGTCTATACGAATATGAAGCCCGATTATAAAATTATGGTACGGCGTAGTGACTTTTCTACAATACCAGAGTTGACTCGGAGGGCCGAGGAATATGAGGCTTACTTGAGGGATCGAAGTACTTTTCGGCCTCCCCCTCCTCCGTCTCTAGCTCTTGTCCCGGAAACGGCCTATGTGTCAAAGCGTAGGATAGAGCGGGTGTTTGACCACGCTGCAGTTAATCCCATGCTAACCGAGGGTGTCGACGCTTGCGCTAAGGGTGAGACGATAGCTACTTCCGGCCCTGCGGCAAATAATGTAGATTGTGCCGGCCTTGAAACTCGGCGGGGTGTTCAACCCAGAACAATGCTGGATGCTGGAGTTGAATATGTGTGCGCCCAGCGGCGAGAACCTGAGGCCCATGCTTAACCTGGAAAGGAGTGGGTTGTTGATGCATATACTTTGACAAATAAGTTTATTTCACACTTAACTACTAACTTTTCTCAAAAACACATCTTAATTACCTTCTACGCAAACGTAATGAAAGCTAACTATTGAAATACCATTGAAAAAATAACCCAGATATGCCTTTTTTGCGCGCGCTTATTAGTTCTTAGTAAAACTAATCTTGGTTTAGTTGCAGACTACATAGCCAGTGTACACATACCTAGCTCAGTATCAAATTTAGTTTATATAGTTTAACTAGCTTTTTTAGTTTGTTTGAAAAGAAAAAATTCCAATCACATGTATTATTTACAGTGTATGTTAAATAGAGAAGTCTGTACATTGCATATTTTTGGTCGAGTTTTCAACCACTGGACCTCAACTTCATTGTACACTTCATTGTTCATTGTACACTTCATTGTTCATTGTTCACTGGGAAATCCATTGTAAGTAAACTATAAGAAATGCTCACTAATCAATGCAAATACTTTAAGGTTATGTGAAAACATATTTAAAGGAATCAGCAAAAATAGTAATACATAATTGCTAGGCAATTGCTAGGTCTATTGCAATTCATTAAGGATATTTAATAATATACTGCTTGTATATTTAATAATATATATAAACGTTTTAATTAAATACGCGATTTTCGGTACTAGGGCTGGACAAATTTAATTACAACTATAGCTGCCATTTCGACCCTGGACAGCAATGGGTAGCTTTCAGCCTCCAATTAACGTTTGTAAAACTACTAAAACATCCCAGTGCGGTGAAAAATATTTGCCAATCATACTCAATTGACTCGGAACACTGCAGTTTCTGATTTAATTAAGGGTATTATTAAAAAGTACTCAAGCAGTAATCAATTAAACAGGGTAACGAATTGAAGGATAGATACAACTAGACTATAAGGACGCAAAATACGCGTAGGTACAACTACATATACGTAGGGACCACTAGTCGTAGGGACCACTAGTCGTAGGGACAACTGGTCGCATCCGTACAAGCTAGGTGATACTACTTGTAGGTGGGATACACGTCTAGTTGTACCTACATCTACTTGTACCTACGTCTAGTTGTACCTACTAAAAATCTGCAGGTACAACTAGTCGGGTGTGCCACCGTCTACTTGTACCTGCGTCTAGTTGTACCTACGACTAGTTGTCCCTAGGCCTCGAGGTACAAGTAGACGTAGGTACAACTAGACGGCGGGACAACGATACGCGGTCCCCATGGATTATAAGTTAAAAATACAATTGAGTTTAATTTATTTTTCAAGTGTTGTTTTCAGTGTAAACATCATATTTTCCCTAATTAAAAAAGTCCATTGCTCATGTAACCCTTATTTGCTCAGTTTATGGTGGTTGTTTTAACAACTATTTCCTGTTCTGACTTTGCAAGCAAGACAATGCAACCAATGCATAATTTGAGGTTCTACTGTTTTGTTACAGGACAGACACAATGCACAGTCCTCGTGTGCTGGGTTGTTTGTTGCTGCTCATCTTGGGTTTGACTTCCCTGGCATCTGGATACATGTGGACATGGCCTCGCCAGTACATGCCGTAAGTTGTGTATCAAAACCACCATTTAAAGCGAATGAAAACAATATGTTATAAAAACTATTACAATCAATAAATGTACACTTTTTGTGTCTACATTCAATTTGGCCTAGAGTATGTACGGTAATTCAGATTTTTTTCAAACGGTTACATATCAGCTTGGTTGGTTATCAAAATTAGAGTGCAGGGGCTAATTTATTGTGTACTAGCCGCCAACCCGTGCTTTGCAATGGGAAGAGAACGCTAAAGAGAATAATTATTATGTTCCATAGATCTGCTGTAAAATAGTTAATTGTTCAAGTTTAAGTAAGTTTGTGACAGTGAGTTTCAAATTTCCCGCGAGATAAGTAAATTGCAGATCTGCCGTGGAGTACGTCAGGCGCCACCGTCATTTAGCTACCTCCCCACCACGACCTTTGAGAGGGAAGGAGCTCTAGGAGGTGACCAGAGGACATTAAGTACCGTACCGTCAAGCAATCAAGTTATAAGTTTTCGTTTGTGTCGTAAGTGAGTGTAGTGTTGACGATTACCGACGGCGGCATATTTCCATATGGGTAAGTGTCCCTCCAAAAGTCGTAAGTTTTAATTCTTTAACAAACTCAGATTTTAATCTCAATTCTCTCCAAGTTTGTCTCGATTTTAATTTTCCAATATCGAGCCCATAAAGTATCGAACGTTCTAACCCTCGGTTAGAGGCAATTGTCTCTCACCTCGAGGCTCTAAATTCTTTTAGAAACTTTACATCATATAATCGGGCGGAGGCATATGTCTCGTCGGTTCGATTATAAAAGGTCCTCTTAATTTCAAGTAAGAAATAATTTTGGTTTAGTTTTTATAAAGTGAAAAGTCAGTAAAATTTTATTTCGGAATGTACCATTTTGTTTTTCTGTAGGTTAAGTGAGGATAAAGTATAATTTTATTTTCAGGGAGTGTTATTGTATCATGTATTCATCAATTTGAAATCCCCTTTTAGAATTACTATTCAATATTAGTAGCATTCTAATAACTCAAAAGTGTGTGAATTATTAAGTTGCAGGTTGTGTTCCGTGTGGGGTAATTATCTCGCATGGCGACACGTTTATAGAGAGTGTTAGGTTATCGTTTATTCTTTAATTTAAAGCCCCTTTTGATTGTGATCTTATTTGTGTATTTTAAAGTCCCACGAAGTATTTAGATGAAATGTTGTATGACACGTAATATTCCGTGTGGGGTATATATCTCGCATAGTAATATTACCGTACGTTTGAGATTAATCTGGCTTAACGCAATCAGTTTATTAGGCGTTTAGTCGTAAGGTCGAGCTAATTTTCCTCAATATTTTGTCTCCGAAGTGCGGTGACCTTTTGGGTAATTTTTACGTATTAATCCGTGTGAGGCACATGTCTCGCGCGTCGATAGTCTATTTAAATTAATTACACCCGCCTTCAGATTAATTGATGTATCAAGTCGTGTGGGGCATTTGTCTCGTACGACACAATTTGTAAATATATGTTTTACAGAATATCGGGAGGGGCATCTGTCTCTTCACGAAATCCAATTTATCATTCACCTTGTAAATGTATCGATTCATTGTGTATCGGTTATTTTGAGAGACCGCTTTACATATAATACAGTGTTACGATTCACCCTGAGGTGTGAAGTGTGTAGTGTAGGTTTGGTGCGAGAAAGGAGCTAACTGTATATCGTTCTGATTGAGTACCTATAGTTTGGAACACCTTTCAGTGTATATATTTCTGTAGTTGTAATGATAATGCAATAAATATCGATTTTTTACTAGATGTGGTTACAATTTTCATCTCCTGAGATATTTCCTTACCTCCAGACAAATTTTAGTGTTACCATTAGGGTCGAACCTTCTCCGTGGGTTTATCCGAGGCAAATAAAATTTATTTTGTATTGTGGGAATATTTGACATATTAATATCGTATTACAATTATATAATATTCCCATTACAAGTTAGTTTTATAAGATTAAAAGTTTAAAAATATTGGAATAAATTGAGAGAGTTTGATACACAGTTTTTGTATTTCCATAGTAACAATTATAAGTTGAAAACAATAACAAATAAGCTCTAACCAGCTGGCATTTAATACGTTAATTCAATCCATGCCTTTGGCACATCTGCTGTATGTAGATAAACTTTTAATTAGGGATGGACAAGATTGGATTTTTAGTTCGAGACGAGACGAGACGGGATTTTTTATTTCTCATAAAATTTCGAGACGAGATCGAGACGGGATTTCCCTTCTCATACACAACGGGAAATGCACGTTCAAAATTTTTACCTGATTTTGTAACATTGTTAGATGACTGTTTAAATACAAAAATAATGATAATAGGCAAGAATATTTACAATCTTTTATTAAAAAACGTCAGCATAACATTTTTTTATTAATTACGCCTAACTTATTAAAAATGCCTACGATTAGGAAACATAGTGATATCAGTTAGGATAGAGTTCAACTTATCCTAAAATAAAATAAATCATAAAATAAAAGCAATATTAATTTTAATAAAACAGTTAGGTACTTATTTTGACTTTTTATAGCAACAAAACATTCCTCACACTGCTTACACTTAACAAAACTTCTCAAGTGTTATTAAAGTAATATTATTAAAATAATTAAAGTAATATTTACATTTAAAGAATTAATTCAATAAGAACACCTTCGCAAAGGAAACACAACTACAACACGCTCCTGTATTGCGGGTATTGCAATAACTAACTAACTAACTTGGTAACTTTCTGCAGGCGTTTTTAATTTTTTTTTTTTTTTTTCTCGTCTCGATAAAAATCTCGGCCAAAAAGAAATCTCATCTCGTGTAACGAGATTTAAAATTTCCCGAAAATTTCCCGAAATTTCAAGACTTGACCAACCCTACTTTTAATCCACTAAAAGTATTAACTGGCTACTACGTTTCCCAGACATTATTTTTGGAGACATAAACCATACAAACACAATAGATTTTTATAAACATTTTAGAAAAAAGAAAGTTAAAGAATTATGCATAAAAAAAATAAAACGCCTTATTCACACAGTATCAAAAATTATTTATTAAATTAAAAACATATACATAACTGTAAACAATCCTACTTTGAAGGTTCTTATTTTGTATCACTGCTTTTTGTTGCTGCTTGGTTCAAATTAGCTGTTGTCATAAATCTAAACAATTAATAGTGCTGCACCCTGTTGGTAAACCTTGTAACTTTTTAATACACTACTGAACATCACATAATCAAATTGTTTAGTTGAAACAGCTGTTAAGATTCTTTAATTCCTTAATTCCATTTAAATATAAGTACTCATAAGTTTGGTGGGAAATTCCAGAGCCACTAGAGCGGAGGCCTTTTGACGGATCTACACCAAACTTCACACAAACTATCCTTGTGTAACCTATTTTTTTCAAAGCTAGAGGAATAGAAATAGGTTAGGGTTTGTACCAGGATAGACAGTCTGGTGACGGGGGTTTATCTGGGCTAGGATAAGTTCCAGGGGTCTTGATAGTCTTTAAAATTTGTAGATAAAAACTTTAAAGATAGCAACTAATTTCAGCTTTGCCGTTGATGGTAATATTGATACTTTCTTTAAGTTGTGAAGCCCCTTACATTTAACTTTAAAGGTAGATTTTACTCAGAGGCTCTTTTTTAAATACAAACAAACAAAATTTAGAATAGCCATCCAGAGTCTGTGGTTTCTCATGTGAGACAATTCAATATTCTCAGGTTCTTTGAACACTCATCCTTATCGACTTTTCTAAGCGGGAGGGATTTTGATGGAATGATCACAAAGTAATTAACTGTAGGCCAAAGATTTAGGTTGGTTCAAGACTTTTCTTAGGCTGAAGGCCTGAATAAAGGGAGGAAGGACAGAGTTGACAAACCAACAAGGAGGCGTTGGTGTCAAAGGGCACAGGACTGTTAGTTGAGCTTATGGCAAAGAATTGATTGATATATATTTCCTTAGATAGGCAAAGTATTAGTTAGCGGTATTTCCTTAATATGCTAAAATAGGATTATACGATAGCTCGCAACGGAAGTATAGGAATTAGCTAGCAACTAAAGTGAAAATGCGCCGGTTTTAGCAAAGGATTAATGAATACCTATGAACGAAATAACGACTAAAGCGGGATTACGTTAGCGTTATCTGAAATAGTAATAACTATCTGATGTAATAGTTATCTGAGATAGCTAGGAACGGAATAACTACTAACGCGGGATTACGTTAGCGTTATTACAATAGTAATGGATAGCTAGGAGCAGAATAACAACTAACGCCGGATTACGTTAGCGTTATTTAAAATAGTAAGGAATAGCTAGGAACGGAATAACTACTAACGCGGGATTACGTTAGCGTTATTTACGATAGTAATGGATAGCTAGGAACGGAATAACAACTAACGCGGAAATACGTTAGCGTTATTTACAATAGTAATGGATAGCTAAGGACGGAATAACAACTAACGCGGGATTACGTTAGCGTTATTTAAAATAGTAAGGAATAGCTAGGAACGGAATAACTACTAACACGGGATTAAGTTAGCGTTATTTACAATAGTAATGGATAGCTAGGAGCGGAATAAAAACTAACGCGAGAATACGTTAGCGTTATTTAAAATAGTAAGGATAGCTAGGAGCGGAATAACAATTAACGCGAGAATACGTTAGCGTTATTTACAATAGTAATGGATAGCTAAGGACGGAATAACAACTAACGCAGGATTACGTTAGCATTATTTAAAATAGTAAGGAATAGCTAGGAACGGAATAACTACTAACGCGGGATTACGTTAGCGTTATTTACAATATAGTAATGGATAGCTAGGAGCGGAATAACAACTAACGCGGGAACACGTTAGCGTTATTTACAATAGTAATGGATAGCTAAGGACGGAATAACAACTAACGCCGGATTACGTTAGCGTTATTTAAAATAGTAAGGAATAGCTAGGAACGGAATAACTACTAACGCGGGAATACATTAGCGTTATTTAAAATAGTAAGGAATAGTTAGGAACGGAATAACAACTAACGCGGGAATACGTTAGAGTTATTTAAAATAGTAATGAATAGCTAGGAACGGAATAACAACTAACGCGGGAATACGTTAGCGATATTTAAAATAGTAATGGATAGCTAAGGACGGAATAACAACTAACGCGGGAATACATTAGCGTTATTTAAACTAGTAAGGGATAACTAGGAGCGGAATAACAACTAACGCAGGATTACGTTAGCGTTATTTAAAATAGTAATGGATAGCTAAGGACGGAATAACAACTAACGCGGGAATATGTTAGCGTTATTTAAACTAGTAAGGGATAACTAGGAGCGGAATAACACCTAACGCGGGAAAACGTTAGCGTTATTTAAAATAGTAATGAATAGCTAGGAACGGAATAACAACTAATGCGGGAGTACGTTAGCGTTATTTAAAATAGTAAGGAATAGCTAGGAACGGAATAACTACTAACGCGGGAATACGTTAGCGTTATTTAAAATAGTAATGATTAGCTAAGAGTAAGGTATTATGACTAGCAAGTAATTATTAGTAAGTTTAAAAAAAAACCCGCTCGAAAGTATATAAAGACAATATAAACAGAATTTAGATTAAGCTAACTGAGTGAATTAGACGAAAAGAAATAAGAATTCAGAGTGAAAGCAAGGATTTATAAATCGCAATAGAAACTATAGTATGGAACAAAGAATATATATAAGAGTGTCTATACCTTATAGTCCTGCCGTCTACACCTTCGCACTATACATAAATTACCTTTGATGTTGTCACAAGGATTATCCGCCGTAAACTGAGTAGAGCCTGGAGTCTAAGACGCGGCTCGGGGAGAGTGGAGAGGGTAGCGCTCACTGCGCATGACCGGTGGCTGACAGGCCGCGACCTGAAAGTTCACCGCGGCGGGAAATTCAAACCATCTTACGCGCCAACCATTTCATTCATGGCAGTATAGACTTGATTTAATTGTATCTGCTTAGGTTGGTGATAGAAATAGATTACGGTGATTTAAAAATAAGTCAGTTGTATATGTAAAAGTATTTATTTAATACCATGGAATTATAAAATTTGAACAACTATGTAAAACAATTCATTTACTGCAGTTATTTTTCTCAAAACTAAAACATATACCTATTTTGTAACATGTGAAAAAATAAACATGTTACACTTGAATATTGCTTAATAATGCCTGAAAGTTTCTTTACAATCTGTCAAGCGGTTTCGGAGTCCATATGGTACATACTTACTTCCTCTTTTATGGATTTATAAGATGATATTTTAATGCAACCTAGAGGTTTGCAATTCACCACTCAAAAACAAACAATTATTTGAGGTCTAGGTACTATTTTAGGCTAGGTTTCTGTGTTTGGATGTTATAAGACATGATAAGAGCACAATGAACTTCTTCTGCAGATGAATAATCTGTTGGTTAAGAGAAATGTTAACCGAATTATAAATGTCAAAATCCAAGCACATTAAAATGGCTGTGGCCTGAACTTTTTTGTAGTATCAAGTTTAAGCATTTTTTTATGTAGCTATCAGGGTATTTTTTTAGGCTGCTGCTCTTTGAACTTTGAGAATTTTTTCAGAGATAAATTAAATGGTTTTTGTTGCTGAGTCACTACTAACGTAATCCCTAATCCCTAATCCCCCTAGCGTAATCGCTAACGTAATCCCGCGTTAGTAGTTATTCCGTTCCTAGCTATCCATTACTATTTCAGATAACGCTAACGTAATCCCGCTTTAGTCGTTATTTCGTTCATAGGTATTCATTAATCCTTTGCTAAAACCGGCGCATTTTCACTTTAGTTGCTAGCTAATTCCTATACTTCCGTTGCGAGCTATCGAATAATCCTATTTTAGCATATTAAGGAAATACCGCTAACTAATACTTTGCCTATCTAAGGAAATATATATCAATCAATTCTTTGCCATAAGCTCAACTAACAGTCCTGTGCCCTTTGACACCAACGCCTCCTTGTTGGTTTGTCAACTCTGTCCTTCCTCCCTTTATTCAGGCCTTCAGCCTAAGAAAAGTCTTGAACCAACCTAAATCTTTGGCCTACAGTTAATTACTTTGTGATCATTCCATCAAAATGTACCGTACCTAGTGTCAGGTACGGGCGTAATGATAATTTAAACATGGTTAAATTTTGATTGGCTCTTAGGCAGTTAATGTTTAGGAACCAAGTACATCCATCATCATAATTATCAATATCACTAGATGAGATGAGGATACCACCTAATTTCGTATTTTAACCCGAATATACAAGTGGTGTGGTGTGAGTGAGTGAGTGAATAATGGAGGGAAATGGTCTGTGTGACATTCCATGCGAATTCACAAAAAACAATATAACCTACTCGTAAAAACTAAGTGTATTTTCAATTATGTCACAAAGGAATCATCACACAACAATAAAACACCACAATCAAGTTCTTAATAATCATTAAATTTCCTGAAAATCTGACAAAATGTGTTGAAAACGTAAGGCGTCCATTGTAATACATGGGTGTCCACTGACTTGTGGGGGGGAGAGCCCTTGTGCGGCCGGCTCGTTTTCGCTGCATTGACTCAGCATTCATGTTTATAGTTCTATGTTGACACCCCAGAGCGTGTCATTACCATCGATGCATCGATGTTTGATACTGGGAGGGTTAAACTATTTTATCAAACACCAACAAACAAGTACATCTCCCAAAAAATTATAAAATTAATATTTACAACAAAAGCACAAGGTTTTTTTATATTGTAAAATTATTCTTAGGTTTGTTTATTTCTATTTCACACTATTATTACTTGGCAATTGCTCAATTTAGAGCAACAGGTACATAATATATAATAATTTGTACTCTTAGTTACACTATTTTTTACAGGGTGAACGAGCAACAGGTTATGGAGTTGCGTTGCTGACGGCTCTTTTTGGAGGATTCTCTTCCGATAAATATCTTCAGTATGTGGGACAAAATGTTGCATTGAATTGTGTCAAGCATATCCAGACCAATTTGTCCTGATTACTACTGAGTTTATAAACAATAAATGATTCAATATCCAAACAGTTTCTTTTTAAACCAACATCCCATTTAGATTTTTTTAATTGTTTGACTTTGCACTTAGGAAGATAAATTATATATGTATATATAAATTATATCTAGCAATTATAAAGTAAATTTATTTTAAAATATGAGTTTGTTAATATTTTTGTATAGAAATAAAAAGAAATTTAACACAAATTTAAAATCAAACAATGTCTTAAGTTAAAGTGATCAATAAGGTTAAGTTTGTACTTTATAGTACTGTACTTTCATAAGCATGATATTACAGTAATCTGTACTGGTCTAGTGACTACAATAGACCAGGGCCCTGTTTCATAAAAATACTAGTCTAGTAAATACTAGTTCCGTATTTACCTGTCCTACTAATTTCTGTTTCATAAACGTTTTTATACCACTAGTAAATACTAGTGTATTTTACTAGTCACGTGACCAAAACTACTAGTCACGTGACCAACTTTACAAGGTAAACTTTCAAAACAAATTTCTAACCTCAATCACGGGTTTTCAAACCCTTTATAAAGGGTTTTAATTTTGTTTTCATTTGATACAAAAAGTAAATAGTTGTAGAAACGCAGTATTTTCTTTTAATTAATATTTATATAGACACATAAGTAAAACAATCACACATTATTTATCTAACCGTTATTATTTATGTTCATCAATGAGCCCGCCGACGCACGGTGATTGTAGTAGCCGGTTGTAGGCCTAGTTGCGGCGCTCAACGGTTGGGTGGAAATTGATCTGTTGCTGAAGCATTCGCTGTGATTTGTATAGTTTTTGTTTTATTCTGACATATAAAATTAAGCTTGCTATGAGTAAAGAAAAGTAATCTCAAGTTTTGAATGTAATTAAATAGTCTAATGACATTTTGTTTATTGGAACGGTTTCAAGTACCCTTACCTATGTTTTCAAATATTCGAATGCATAAGGATATTTGGGTTAAAAACCATTTGGTGATATTCTAATTTTGAGTCTACAAACCATGAATAATAAGCCTAAACGTTTATTGATGTAACAAATAATTGCAACGCCGTTACAAGCGATGGAGAAGTAGGTTTTCAAGTATAGTAAAACATGGCGTAGCTCGGAGGTAGAGTTCTCGCTAGTCATGTGGCGGGTCCCTGGTTCAAATCCGTGCCACTCATTTTACTTTTTATTCCATTAATTAAACTTTTACATGTTTTTACATTAAAAAAAACATGATCAACATCTAATTTTTTTATTACTTTGAATAACAAATTCAGAATACCAAAATGGATTAAAAGTAATGTTTTTATGATAAGCAGTTCAGTTCAACGCCCAAAAATCAAATATAGGCCTACAAAATTGTTAGTCTATCTCAGGGTTTTAGCTATTTAGGGAAGCAAATAATAAGCACCTCAAAAAATACAATGCAACTCCTCTTTAAAAGTGTCTTACTATTATTTCCTATTCAAATGTCTTTAAATAAAACCGAGAGCCTTGGGTGTAAAATAATCTGATTAATGTTGCAACGTTGGATACATTTGTTACATCTTTGTATGCAATACGGTATGCGGTTTTAATTTGGTTTCTCCCAAAGCTTAAAAATCTTTTCTCTGTGATAGCTAATAGTTGATATAACCATGAAATTTAACTCAAGTAAAATTAGACTAAAATTTCACAGAAATTGATAACTTATAATTATAATTAATTCTAATAGGGCGATTGTACATACATTATAAAATTTTATTTCTCTCATTTTGTACTACGCCACATTTATTGATTGTAATTTATATCAAATAATTATCATTTTAGCACTCACATTATTATTTTTATCTTAAATTGCAAACGTGAGCCAATTTGCACTTGCAAAAAGAACTTAATAATTCATTTTTTTTTATGATGTGAGTAATGAAATAACTCTCTTTCCAAAAAATACTAGTCTACTTCAAATAATACGGGTGTAGAGAGGTTGTTAGAAAATGGCAAGTATTTACCAGTGTAATTTACAAGAATAAAACTTTATGAAACACATTGCTGTCTACACTAGTAAAAACCACTAGTAATACTAGTCCCTACACTAGTAACTAGTATTTTACACTAGTAGGTTTTTGAAACGTAGACTTGTAAAATACACTAGTATTACTAGTCTATGGACTAGTAAATACTAGACTAGTAGTTTTATGAAACAGGGCCCAGGAGGCCCAAATTCCAATCCCACTAATCACCACTTTCACCTTTGGGTTTTGCTGTGTGATAATGATGCAACCTAGTAGTTTGAAGTTCACCAGAAGATGTAGTATCCTATACAACTGGAAAACAAACAACTATTTGAGGTCTATTTAGAAAGTGAAGAAAGTTTCTGTCTGTCTCTGCTATGTGTGCGCTGATCGCCTACTTTAATACATTCACTCAGACTTTTTCGCCTCCTCAATGACTGCCAAGCGATCGCAGCAGAAATGTCGTGCTGCCCACTGTTGCAATATTAAAATTGAAATACTCCACAGCAAACCTGCAGACTAAGCAAATTTCCATTTGCCTGAGTGGATTTTCAATTAAATCTATTTAAATAACATTAGGTTTATCATGTACCTAGGTTTGCTGCTACAGGGAGGACAATGAAGTGTGTATTTTTTTTTAGTAAAATCAAATAAAAAAGCAAATAAGTAAAGGTTTTTTTTAGCTTAGTAAAAAATCAATAAATTTGCCAAGTTCGATCAAAACATAAGGGTAAAAAAACACTTAAAAATACTAAATTATTTGTTTTTTAAGCTCTTTAAAATGGTTTTAAGAGAAATAGGGAAGTTTGAATTTTTTATGGTCAGAAATGCGAAAGACCAATTTTTACCCGATAAAACCCCATACCCATGGTCTGATCGTGCCGGTTCGCGAACTCATTAAAGTTTATCTCGCCCTACACCTTCAAGCCAAATTTCATCCGAATCAGACAAAAATTTCTCAAGTTATTGCGTTCATGGACATATTTATATATATTATATATATTTATTATACAAATATAACAATTTGAACGAGCAGTGTTTTTGGCCTCTAGGGACATTAAAATGAAAAAGTATATTGGTCCCGGATACTAATTACTGAGGTCTCATAGTGGTTTGTGATACGGTATAGGTCTTACCGTGCCACCTAGTAATGGCTACTTCCTTATTGGAAAAATCCTACTAGTTAAGATATGCAGTCAGTAACACAGTTTTGTTAACTAGAAAATCAAAACCTATAGACACTTTAAAAATTATTTCAGGACAAGGGAGTGAAGTGTACGGAAACAATGTAATAAATCCAAGTTCCGTCTGTGAATGACACATTATTTTTGATGATGGCCAAGCTAAAATATTTGTCCAAAGCTTTTTTGCATAACAATGCCACACTGTAAATCACATTCTAGATCTTAATTCATTCAAAAGGGAGATGTCTCTCAATCTTACCGTGCCACCTAGTAATGGCTACTTCCTTATTGGAAAAATCCTACTAGTTAAGATGTGCAGTCAGTAACACAGTTTTGTTAACTAGAAAATCAAAACCTATAGACACTTTAAAAATTATTTCAGGACAAGGGAGTGAAGTGTACGGAAACAATGTAATAAATCCAAGTTCCGTCTGTGAATGACACATTATTTTTGATGATGGCCAAGCTAAAATATTTGTCCAAAACTTTTTTGCATAACAATGCCACACTGTAAATCACATTCTAGGGAGATGTCTCTCAATCAACCTACAGTCCTCCATACCTAGCCCCGAGTGATTTTCACTTGTTTCTGAAAATGAAGACTTGGTTTGTAGCACAGTTAATTGTGTGACACCAAGTGGCTGATGTCGCAGGCGGAATTATGTGACAAAGAAATTTCAAAGCTCGTCCACCGCCAAATTAAGTGCCTTAATTTGTCGGGGACTATATGGAAAAGTAGTACTCTGTTATATATTATATATAACTAGGTGAAGGCTTACGTTAATTCATCTAACTGCGATAAATTGGGTGACATATACATATTTTGAGCATTGTTTAAAGAGTAATAAGTGTAAAAACGATAATTGTATTAATTGCGTTAGTTGCCAAATTTGGTTGATCATTCAATGATTAAAATATTTTCTATACTGTACGTCATCGGAGTTATTATTAGTATGTTATATGGTATCTCTTCCTTTGGAAGAACCTTTAAATAGTATTAAAATCGTATTGGTGGATCTTTTGTAGTTCAACACTTCCGTGATTTCATCAGTGTAATATGATTTTATTTGAAAAGAAAATATTTTTTGGGAAGACATATTCTAACTTCAAAGGGAGTTATATCCGTTACAGTGTAAGTTTGATTTTTCTTCGTCACGTCGCGTCAGTTCATATCGTACTTCTGTGCCAATGAATGAACCCTCTAGCATAGTTTTGAGAAATTGATTGTGGGGTTACTGTTGAAGGTGGAATTCCTTGACATGGGCGATGTCAGTTAGTTGTCTCAGCCTTATCAATAACATAAAGTTGTCAATATAATCTCTCTACGGAATGTTAGGTGTAGTGGAATACTTGAAGTGAAGTTGGCTTTTATTCTTGAACTGTTAGGGGCCTCCTAGTTCATATGATCTTGGCGGCTTCATTGGCAACAAATAATGCAAATGACATAGCAATGGGACATTTCCAAAAAGCAAAAATACTGTAAATTGGCTGTTACGTATATATTGACGTTTACATATTGTTAATCACCGTATCTTATAAAGGATTATGTGATCTAGTTTAAAAGGAATATGACCTTTCTGTCATGATAGTAGCTGCTTAAATAGTATTTTCTCTTTGTATCATATTTTACAGCCAAAATGTTGTGTTATTTTTAATAACGTTACCAACCTGACCCCAAAACCCCGCCAAAGTCTGTAATATAGGCAGGTGCAAATAATTTGTCAAGATGGGTACCATTTTAGGCAAGGTTTCTATGTTTGGATTTTATTAGACACGATAAGAGCTGATATTTCTACGTAAATATTTGATATGTGTAGAATAATATGATAAAATGTAGGCAAAAGTGGTGAAAGAG